CAGATCCACCCGCCCGCCGGCTACCGCGTCTTCCGCAACGGCGAGTACCGGGAGGCAGCGGCTGCGCCCGGCCCGGCTCCCTGGCCGCGGCTTGGGGTTTTCCTTCTTAATGGTCCCTCTGTGCCCCAAGCTGGCCTTGCCCGCGCGCATGCTGCTCCTGGAAAAGTGGGTTTTCAGGAAACTTTCTAGAGCAAAAATGCTGGATTTGCTTGGCCGCCGGGTGTAGCCTCTGTGTGGTAAGAGATTATTTTGTGAGGGGCCAGGAAACGGGTAAAACTTTAAGAATAAAAAAACACCCCTAAGGAAGCTAAAAACAAAGAATAGACCCCGAGTTGACCCTTATTTAAACTTAAGGATATTGCTATGTAGGACTGACTATAACAAACAAACAAACCCCAGCAACTCTAAGCAAAATCAATTTGAAACTAATTGTTTTCCCTTTTCTCAGACTCTGTGCTGGGCAAAATGTAAAGTTCTCTTAGTTAGTTAATCCTGGGGAGAAAACCCTATTGTTCATGTACTGTAAGTGGGGAAATGCCCTGAAACGAAGAGGAGGAGGTAAAGATCACTCACAGCAGCAGCCCCTGTTGGTTCCTGGGCTGTTGGGTGTCTAGTCCAGCTGGTGCCTTGCCGAAACGGGAGGATTTGGGTCAAGTTTGCAGAGGAAGGAGCTGCAGGACTGTGGCACTGAGTATCTTTGGGTAATAAAACAAGTTTCCTGCAAGTTCCCAACACAGCAGTGCAGCTCGAAGGAAGATGCGTTTTTTAGAGTTTCCAAGAAGAAAAAGGGTGAACTCAAGAGGAAGTCTGAAGCAAATATTCTAAGCAATTCTTAAGAGAAGTACATAAAGGAGCCTTTCCAGGTCCAAATAACGGAGCCAAAGGTTAATTGAAAGATCAGTAACCAGATTTTTGTTGGAAGACTTAGTGCAAATATTTACATAATGCTCTTAATGAAGGGTGACCAGATTCCTCAGAGAAATAGTATATTGAAATTCTAGGACCGGAAACTCCGGTTAGTTTAGAAAAAGACACAAACAAAATGGGTCAAATACTGGAACAACTTGATTTTGGCCATTGTGAGTCTTTTATTGCTGAGTGTTGGAATGGAGAGCTGGGCTCGAGCCGAAGTTTTGGGCTTTGAAGATGAAAACGGTGAGGTTCTCTGCTAGCCAGGAGGTTAGACTTTGTCATCGTTCTTGTTATTCACAGACTTGAGTTCTATGAAAATGGGAAAATTGCTGTTCTTCCTTATGCAGCTCTGAGCTCAGTCTCTGTACAGGTGTATGGAAGCACCTGTACGTTTTCCAACACTGGTGTAATCTTTAGTTAGAATCCTTACCTTCCTGGTAAGCTTGTGGAAGAGCTGTTCTAAGATGTGAAGCATTTTGAAGCAACAAACTTGTGGAAAACTAGTGTTTAAGGCAGTACGTTTTCTTCAGACGCAGTATTCGTTTAAAGAAGTATTTGGCACCCTGGTTGCTCAGAAGGAACTTTTCGATGTGGTGGCTAAACCTCTCGTGGAAGATCTCGTCCATGGGAAAAACGGTAAGCAAGGTCATGCTTTATATGTCTCTCTTGCCAACTTTTTTACTGGTATAACTTCTCTTCTGTCAAGACATTTTTGCTTGTCCAAGAAAAAAATCATAAGTGTATATATATATATATATATTTCCTTCAGCAAAAAAATCCATGCCTCCACAGCATTGTTGGAAGTTCTTTCTGCTTTTCCTCATTTCTGACCCTACTCACCTGTGTTGAGGCATTCATGATACTTGTGTCAAGGTCTATTTTGTTTTTTCTTTTTTTTTGTATGTATTTTCTTGTGTATTTTGTATATTATTAACCGGAGAAGACAAAAAGCACCCTTTCACCACCTTTCTGTCTCTCCCAGGCCTGCTTTTTACATATGGTGTAACGGGCAGCGGAAAGACCCACACCATGACGGGATCTCCGGGGGACGGAGGGCTTCTTCCTCGGTGCTTGGATATGATCTTCAACAGCATAGGACCGTTCCAGGCCAAACGATTTGTGTGTATTTTGCACTGAATTCTTTGCACTGTTGTCTGCAGGAGCATAAATCGCTAGGATAATGGATAGTATATTTAATTTGTGTCTGCTTGTGTGAATTAAGCACAGGGGAAAAACAACAGCAACAAAAATGTAGGATTGGAAGTGTGGGCTGGGAAGGGCAATTTCATAAAAATAAGCAGTCTGTTCTAGCTGTCTTTGCAACTGTTTTTCATTCTTTAGCTATCTCTTAAAAACAATGTTTAAAAAAAAAAAGAGCTTTCTGAGCATTGGCTTCCTGTCACTTGATCTCATTCCATATCTGTGGACGTAGGAGATGATTTGAAGTTTTTCTTGTTGTCAGACACCTCTGAATTTTCTGGTGTCTAAGAATATTGGAAATAATACTGAAAGCCTTTTCCTTAATAGGATGTTAGATGGTAACTTTATGTGAAACATTTATCTTGGAAAAGTCCGTCCTCTGTTGAATCTACTTGGAATTAGCCAGCAGATTGAATGGCAGTGATAGGCACAGTATTCACTTGCTGCCAGACAACCTGATCATATAACTTGTGTTTTGCTGGCCAGTCCCTTATGTTCTCTAGTGTTTATATTGTCTGCATGTACGTTCCCTGCTCAGGTTTTTAAGCTGGATGAGAAGAATGGTGTGGATGTTCAGTGTGAAGTGGATGCTCTGTTAGAGCGACAGAAAAGAGATGCCCTGCCTGTTCCAAAAACTCCAGCTGGCAAGTAAGTAACTATTGTAACACGCAGAAAGAATGAATTAATGTGCATATTCTGACATTCTGGTCTAAATGTAGTCTTTTAACTCTTCCCTTGGCAAAAGGAAGAAAGAAATATGAATGAAAATAACATATATAAGCTTTCCTGTTGCTTAAGGAATTATGCAGTTAAGTATTTAGAACTGGACAACTTAATTCTGTGTCTGTCCACTGTGCCTTCCCTTGAGTAAAATGCAGTGATTTCACTTAGTGATACTGTGAGGTTAAATATGAGCATGTTCTTCCAAATAAGTGAGGCTGATCACTGAAAGATGACAGAAATGCCAGCTAGCCAGGAACTCTGCAATGTATATCTTACAGCAGCTGAGTACATCAGTGACAGCTGAAAGTTTATACTTTTAAGCTTTTCAGAGTGTTCTTTTTGGTTTTGGTTGAAAACTGGGTATTTTGTCTGCACTTTCCAGTGTGGGAATCACCTGTCAATAGACTCTCTCATTCTGTAGTCACTGTCTATAAGCTGTTTGCTCACCATGGATGCTCCTTTACATCTGCTTGCTCTGTGTGTTTGGCAGGCGCCAAATAGATCCCGAATTTGCCAATATGATCAACGTGCAAGATCACTGCAAAGTGGAAGAAGTTGATGAAGAAAACGTTTACAGTGTCTTTGTCTCCTATATCGAGATCTACAATAACTACATATATGACCTCTTGGAGGAATCTCCCTTTGATACCATAAAACCAAAGTAAGTTCACCGAGTGCTCTTGCTGCTCATTTCAGTTATGCTTTTATGGGAACTGGAATATGTCTTTGACTGTGGTCCAGGCAAGTCTGGCTTAACTGTGACATGAGAAAGGTGGTGGTCAAGGAGTGCAGACAATAGCATTTAGGTGGGCCAAGCTCTGGTGGTCTCCTTGTTGCTGCTAAGACTTGATGCTTTCTTAGTCTCTTGATGCTGACCATTTACGAGAAACAAAGCTGGCTAGTGGCTTGAGTGAAATTTTCACTATTGTGGAACGACAATGTCTAAAACTGGTGAATACTGGGACCTTTGGAAAAACTTTGAACATGTCTGTTTTAATTCTAAACCTATTAAAATACCTATATGTACCTATTGGCATATATGGAAGTTAGCCAAGCTGTAAAGGTTAACTAGAACAAAACAAGCCATTGCCCTGAAACACCAAGAGCTGGCTCTAGGGTACTGCTTTGAAATGAGTTGGGATGTCTACGTGCTTTTTGAGGAATGGTTAGAGTATTTGGTTTAGTATCTTATCGCATCACATCCTAGGAAGGATCTTAATGTTTCCTCTATGGAAACTGCAGTATGTTAAAGCTGAATAACTTAATATTTTTTTAACCCTGTTTTTTTGCTAGGTGGAACAATTGCAACACTCCTGTGCGAAGTGGTGACTTTATGTATGTGCATAAGCTTATTATTCACGATACCAAAAAATAAAATTTCCTCGTAGTAGAAGCAGAAAATGAGCTCGGGCTGACTCTGTTCCTTTGCTGGCTTTACTAGCGAATACTGAACGCTTTTGAAGCCCTCTTGCTTCCCCAGGAGCATATGCATGTAGAAAAAACAATAGCTGCCATCCAACCCGGTGATTTTTAGTGAGAATTGCAACTAAACGTAGCTTCTAAATTAAAGCAGTAGCTGAAGTGTAACTAATCCTGGCTGAGTGGGTGTCCGTGTGTTTGTACTTCCTCTTCCAACTGCTGTGTGGATAATTGACACGTTCAGTCTGAATTTTGTGTTTAAACAAATGAAAATTTGCACGCCACGGAGTGTGCGGTTGTAGAGAACTCCCTTCAGCTTTAGGTTTCTTGTGTTTTCTCTCCCCTCTTAAGACCTCCACAATCCAGAATACTGCGTGAGGGCCAGAATCACAAAATGTACGTGGCGGGGTGCACCGAGGTAGAGGTGAAATCCACAGAAGAAGCTTTTGAAGTGTTTTGGAGAGGTAAATAATCCTAAAATGTACACATCTCTGTGGAATTTAAGAAGTTAATTTCTCTTGCTCTCAGGGTTGAAAACAACTCACTCTGCTAAGTGTCAAGTTCTAAATAGAATTCATCTTCTCTTTTCTTTTTATTTTATAACAGGTCAGAAAAAAAGGCGTATTGCAAATACTCAGCTGAACAGAGAATCCAGTCGCTCTCACAGTGTTTTTATAATAAAGTTGGCTCAGGCACCCCTGGATGCTGATGGAGATAACGTGCTACAGGTGTATTAATGAGCAGACTATTAAAGAACTGTGTGTGTGTACATGTTAAGTTAGAAAAAGCAGCGAACCTTGCAGCAGGGCCTGCCTAAACAGTGATCTCTGAAGCAAATGAATCTCTTCCCATTTCAGATTGATGATAGAAATTTCTCTCATCTCCATAATAAAAGTAGAGTGTTACAATGGGGAGTAAAACTACCTGGTCCTTTTTCCTCTGTTTCTCTTCAATACCAGTAACAGTTTTGGCCTAATACAAAATTGCGAATGCACGTGTTACATCTTGTCTTGTGGCTCAAAACAGAAAGGATTTGAAATTTTTTTGTATGAAAAAGCTAATGGTGGAATTCTTATAATCCCTAGTGCAAGAAAATGCCCATCAGACTTTGTCTGAAGTTGTATCACGGGGTGTTTAAGTTTGCTTGTTGTGGAGCAACAAGTGGTGGTGGAGCCTTTACCCTCACACCTAGAAGGTAAGGAACACGGTGCTGATCGTTGGCCTGATGTAACTTCCTTCCTTGTAATAGGAGAAAGAACATATCACTTTAAGCCAGCTGTCCTTGGTTGATCTAGCTGGGAGTGAGAGGACTTACAGAACAAAAGCTGAAGGGAACAGGTTGCGAGAGGCAGGTATGTACCACGTTTGGACCGCCCATTAATTGCATACACTAATATATATGCTAGTATTCAAGTATGAGTCTGCCTCTTGGGAGGAGGAAAAGCACGGGGGGATTGATCTGTTTTAATTTTCAATTATCTGGTCTGATGTTCTAAATCCCCCAAGTTTGGGAATTTCTTTAAGTTTGGAAACTTTCTTTATAGTACTACAATTCACGGCTAGTACTTCAGACTAATTGCAGCAATTACCTGTAACAAATCTTACTTAACAAATATTACTTAAGAGTCCAAGCAGTTTATTTTTAAGCAAGCCACTACATAATTTGGGAACATGATCCAAATGGCTGCTTAAGGAGCTCTTTTTTATTTTTAGGTAATATTAATCAGTCACTGATGACATTAAGAACGTGTATTGAAGTTCTACGGGAAAACCAGCTGTATGGAACAAATAAGGTATGCAACAGATGATCGGATTGTCTGTCCTTTGACTAAGAGCTGGTTAAGGAAAGCTTACGAGATATTTGTTTGTTCCAAGATGATTCCGTACAGAGATTCCAAGCTGACTCATCTCTTCAAGAACTATTTTGATGGCGAAGGAAAAGTGCGTATGATTGTGTGTGTTAATCCCAAAGCTGAGGACTACGAGGAAAGCTTGGTAACTTCCTGTACATCTTCTTTCTCTTCTACTCTTTGCCCCTTTTGTGCTGATCATCAAATTACTGCACTTGTTTAGCAGGATATAGGAATGGTAATCTGCTGACTGCTCATGTAATCAAATGTGCTGTCATTGGGTAGATGTGCCCACTAAGTCCTGCTTTTCCTCTTAAATTGCAACACTACTTGCACATAAAGTAGGAAAGATCATCTTATTTGCTAAAGTCCAAGCCCACAGCCCTGTTTGAGTACCCACAAGAACTGTTTGCACCATCGTTTTTGTGGCCCCTTGGTGGGGAGGTCAAGGGATATTGCTGGGAAGGTTTTTTGGATGCTTCACTTCATCGAGCTCTAATACTAAGTAGCTCCCAGCTACGCAGCTTGCAACTTTAACGTCTCCTCTAATGCTTTATTGATCCAAAATACTGCTTTTGAACTCGCCTTCGGCTCGTTCTGTTTGACTTCATTGTTGAGCCTGGTTTTGTTCCCTCGTAGCAAGTGATGCGGTTCGCAGAGATGACGCAGGAAGTGGAAGTTGCCAGACCTGTTGACAAACCTCTTTGTGGCCTGACCCCGGGGCAGCGCTTCAGGAACCAGGCGTTCCGAGAGGAGCTCTCCCGAAAGCTGGAGATGAGGGGGGGCCCCCTAAACCGAGGTAAATACCCCAGCACAGCACCCGCTTTTCTCCTTGGGGGTGACTGCCTTGGAGAAAAGAAGTTATCCCTGTCTTAAAAGAGCAAAAGAACCTTTTCACCATTTAGTTCTGCAGTATGTACTTACCCTTGTTCTGCATGATGTATATTTGAGTAGCTCCTTTTTATACTGCTGCACTGCTTCTACAGTAACTGAGCTTATACTACAAACGCTGCAGTGATTCTTTGTAATTGATGATGAGTTGCCTTCCTGGTCTCATTCCTGCAGTTCCTGAAAGGAAATTGTTATACTGAAAATGATACTTTGATGTTTTTTGTATGCTCAAGGCCTACTGTAGAAAGCAGGAGTTGCCTGGAGGTATTCTAATGTAATGAATCAAGAATATCACGTCTCATCTTTCTTCAGTACTGTCATCTCTTTGGAAAACTTCTAGTTCTCAGCAGTTATTCTGTCTACTTCATAATATTACGGAATGGATGATCTGTGGCTATGCATTGTTAAATGGAATTTTTCCATTCTGTAGCTTGTTGACAGACTTTCTTGGCTTTAAATCTTGCAGAAACAGAAGAACAATCTGTTTCAGAAACGCTTTTGAAGAGCTTTCCTCCGTTGCCTTCGTGTGAACTTTTGGATATTAATGATGATCAAACACTTCCAAAGCTTATTGAAGCCCTGGAAAAACGCCAAATACTAAAACAAATGTTGTCAGAGAAATTTGCCAAAAACGGTAAGAATTTGAACATCAGTGTTGAACTAGACTTCTGTCACACTTAATGCTCTTCAGGGTGTCTTCTGCAGCAACACAAAGTAAATACCTTGTCTCGGGTGGTGGTTTAGAAAGCCTTTGTTTGGGGTAGCTGGTGGGAGTGGAAGAACTGTTTTTGGTATTAGTGTGAGAAGATAAAACACTGTTTCTCTTGCAGTGCTTTCATGTAAAACTCTGCTGCAAGACTTAGAGTCCAGCATCGTATCCAAGGAGAACTATATTCAAGGAAAATTGTCTGATAAAGAGAAAATAATAGCAGGACAGAAAATGGAGCTAGAACGCCTGGAGAAGAAAAATAAAACTCTGGAATACAAGGTTGGGTGTCTCTAAGTTGTCTAAATCTACAAAAGGAATTTTCCAGCTACCATTTGACAAAGTTCTTGACTCAGAAGATGCCTAAAAAGGATATTAGAAATGAGATTAAAAGTATGTTTTGGGGGACTTTAACTGATTTTTTTTTTTTTTTAGCTTTTTAACTTTCCTGTTAGGTGAGGCTTTTCTCAATATACTGAGATGTGCAACTCACTAGTGAGTCGTGAAATGTCCAAAACTTTTTGGAATTTAGTATTTTTCTGGATATACTTATGCATACAACAACTACCAAATTAAATTAGTGAAATATGACTCACAGGCTTAGATGGGCTGTGCTTCTTACAATCAAATCCAAGTCCTTCTTCTTTTCCTCCAGATTGAGATTTTGGAGAAAACTGCCACGATTTACGAAGAAGACAAACGTAATCTCCAGCAAGAGCTAGAAAGCAAGAGCCAGAAACTGCAGCGGGAGGCGTCCGACAAGCGGCGGCTGGAGGCACGACTGCAGGGCATGGTGGTGGAAACCAGCATGAAGTGGGAGAAGGAGTGTGTAAGTGCCCTGCTGTGCCTGGGAGCACCTTAGCTTTGCTCCCTTATGCATTTTGAAGTGGTCTGGGATGTTTGTTTTTGTTCTTTTTTTCCCCATTTATTAAGTAGGATTAAGACTGAAGGTGCTTGGCTTTAAATATGGGCTTAAACATTTTCAATTTAAATATTTTATAAATACAGTATATTTGGGGATATTTCTCAAGGACTTTTGGTGCATCTAGAAAAATGTTCAAGCAATTCCTCACTTCATTGATATCCAATATTTGTTTCGTGGGTTTTTGGGGCTCTAACTTCAGTAGTGATTCTTGCGTTTTGTCCGTTGTCATCAGGAGCCTGCTCTGACTTTCTCCTTTCTCATTATTGCATGCACTCTTGCCCGAGGATGTGCTTGACATGCCATAAGGAAAGGAAACCTCAGGAATTAATCCTGCAAGCTCATACTTCAGGACCATTGATAAAACTATAGTTAGACACACTCCCATTTATCTTAATTCAAAAGGCAAATTGTTTGTGACATTGAATATAGTATTGCTCTGGAATTTGGCAAGTCCATTTGTTTTACTTGATTTGCCACTTTCCAACTGGAAAAAGATGTAGGTCCATCTGGAATATATAATATAATTCCATCTGGAAATAATGTAAGCACTTGGCTTTCCAGGAACGGCGCGTAGCAGCAAAGCAGCTGGAAATGCAGAACAAACTTTGGGTCAAAGATGAAAAACTGAAGCAACTGAAGGCCATAGTTACTGAACCAAAGACTGAAAAACCCGAGAGGCCGTCGCGGGAGAGAGACAGAGAGAAGCCTGCTCAGAGATCAGTGTCTCCTTCGCCAGTGTCTGTAAGTTGTCTATGAAACACTTGGAATGGGGACAAGCATCTTTATAAGAACGAGCTGAAATGCAGGCCACCTTTCTTAGTGGTTACAGGAGATCCTTGAGCACAGAATTTGAGCGACTGATCTCGGAGTTCTTCTTTCAGTTGTGTTTGTCAATGTTCTTTATTTGTGCTGCTGTCCTCTGGCGTTCCCAGTGTTGGAAGAATAACTAAACCTTAGTGCTGTTGCTGAAACACGCTAACTGTCTGAAACCACAGGCTGCACTGGACACAATGTGCAGCATGATACTGTTTTACTGGCTGAATTTGACAGTTCTGTATGTTCACTAACTTCTTTCCTGTTCTCTCCAGCCTTCTGGTAATGGCATGACTCAGGTCCCTAACAGCCAGCGGCTGCTGAGCAACCCCCAGGTGCACAGACGTTCTAACTCTTGTAGCAGCATTTCTGTGGCATCCTGCATTACGGAGTGGGAGCAGAAAATCCCTTCGCACAAGCATGCCAGTGGCCCTCCTAATGCAAGGAGTAGACAACAAGAACCAGAGCAAAATAGGAACTGTAACGCTTCAGACAGAAGGCGAGGGATGTACTGCACTGGAGTCGTTGAGGTTCGCAGACATAGGAATGAGCTAGAGATAGAAGAGGACCAATGCTGCAGGGTTAGTGCTCTCCACGTGGAATGTAGTGCTGTGTAGTCTGACTTGGAAGCTCCTCTTAACTGCTTTTGGGTGTCGAACACACCTAAAAGAGATTGGAAGTTGCTTCATAATGCAGTTCTCAGGACAGTGCTATTTCCAAGCAGAATGAATAGTGAGACTCAGCCTGACTACTGAATTTCACAATCGAGAACTCCTTGAAAGCAATTGCCTGTCTCTTGCTAGCACGTAGTTAGCTCTTGTAAGGAATTCTAAACTAGCTAGACCTCATTTCTGGCTATGAATGTCCTTGTTTTTCAATTTGTCTGTCTCCTCAGATCTGTCTCACAGTCTGCAATTTGCCATAGTCTGTTTGGGCAGCTTAAAAGGTAGTCCTATGAGCCACTTGTGCAAATATCTACTGGAAATAGTGCTTGGACAAGCATCTCACTTGTCTCAATATTAAGTTTGCTCTTGGAATGATCTTCCCAAATTCTCGTGTGTGTTAAAGCAGGGGGGCTTTGTCTACCCTTGGGACACTTTTCCTCCCCTCTTTCTTCTTAAATTGATGCATGCCAATGTTTGGATCTGTGATGCTTGTCTGTTTCGCATTATAGCCCTGTCGTAGGGGTTCAGGAAAATCTCAGATAATTATATAAAAGAAACAAAATCAGCCTCCTTGAGAGCTTCTCAAGGGGAGGAAAGTTTCTCATGGTATGTTTCATTTTCAATAATGTTTCCAAAATTCCTGTTACTTGCTAGCCCTTTGAAGTGAGGGATGTGCTTTTAAGCTAATGCTATTCTAATTAACTAACACATGAACCACTCTTAGCAGAGTAAAGGGATGTGGTCTCTTTCCCAGTAAAATGTACCCAGTAGTAGCATGCCCTTAGGGCATCACTTCTAAAGCAGCTTGGCAAAACTGTTGTCAAAAAAAAATCAACAGAAAGCATCTCTTGCTCACTAAAAGGCAAAAAAAAAATCTTAAGGAATTCTGTAAAAGATACTTGCTGCTCTTGGGGAGAGTGTTTCATTTATTGTTTTAAGAGCTGCTTCAGATTTGTGGGAGATGTCTATTGCTAAAAATCATAACCGATGCTCGTCACCTAAGGGTACAGCAGATGGGATTAGGACCTTCAGATTTGGGTGATGTAAATTCACTATGATTCAGGGAAATCTGTAAAATTAGTCTGCAAATGGAATGGGGAGATAGGAGCAAAAAGGGAACAACTCCCAAAGAAGGGAGTAGAGCTGATCCTTGTCAGGGAAGTGTCCTGATAACTTTCAAAGACCTTGAACAGTCCAAATTTTTTTTTAAAAGCAAATTATGGTGGTGATCTGAGTCTTCTATTTTTCATAAGCATCTGACAGTAATGTTTATGAAGACACTAAAAATACTGGGCTTCAGTCACCCCTGTGGATTTTCCACAGCTGAATTCAGAAGCAGCAGTGCCAGCATGGGAGGTATTTCTTCTAGCTCTGCTCTATTTAATGAAAAGTGCTATGAAGTCTTGCATCCTTCAGAGATATTAGGAATATCTCTCAAGTATATCCATACTTGGTCTGCTTCCCTTGCTAGCACGAAAATTGCTTATTTGATCCAGGAATGCACCAATGGAAACATTTCAAATAATTTTCTCTTTTCAGGTGGGTTAATATGACTACAGCATATAGTTTTGATTTGGAAACTTGGAGTGCTCCAAAAGATGTTCTTGAGAACTTTAGTTTTGATTTGGAAACTTGGAGTGCTACAAAACTTTGTATGGAATGCAGCTAATTTGGTAGCAGTTAACTAAAACTGACAAACAATAGAAATTGGCTTGGGGAAAAAAAAATTAAGATTATGTAAGATTAAGTGAAGTTGATGGGTTCTGGCGATGGATTCAAGGTGACGGATTCTGAAAGTACCTTAGGAATAAGGCTCTAATTTTCAAACCAACACATTTTAACCAGACCTGAAAAGATCTCTGCTAACGATATCCTTGGGGAAACGTCCTGTGATTTGACCCGCTTCTCTTCTGCTCCGCTCAGAACGCGCCTCCAGTTCGTCTCCGGCACCGACGGTCGCGCTCGGCCGGGGAGAGATGGGTGGATCATAAACCACCTTCTAACCTGCCCACCGAGACGGTCATGCAGCCCCAGGTCCCTCACGCCATCACGGTAGCGGCTGCGAGCGAAAAAGCCCTAGCTAAGTGTGACAAGTACATGCTGACACACCAGGAGCTGGCCTCCGATGGGGAGATTGAGACAAAGCTGATTAAGGTAAAGAAAAACGACCCTCGTGGTCGGGGGGTGCTCACGGCCGCAGCTCCTCTTCCTCACCGTGCTGTGGGCTGAGCAGCTGGCAGGAAGGTGCCCCTGCCTCGTGGTGCCAAAGTCAGGTTTGAAAGCTTGGTGACGCTGCGTTCCAGGGAGCTTTGGAGCCTCAGAATGCTTTTCTTGAACAGTGTCGTTGCTATATGAAAAACTACTGCAGCCTCGTTGTGCTTGAAAGCAATTAAATGCTTCCCCCTACCCGGTGAAACACAATAACCTGTTTGCAGGGGAAGTGTCTTAGGTTTGTGATTGCAGCTGGTTTTATGGAGTCGGTCCTATTGGAGTGATGTTATTTGCTTTCCACGGGCAGCGTGGGTAGGCTTGCTGCAGTGGTGGCTGTGCAGAATGCTTCACAACACTATTTCCAGCATTAAATTGACAGGGAAATTGTGGCAATAGCCTGGGCTTTGAAGACTCAAAATATTGTGTACAATTACGTAAGGCAAACTGGGAGCCCTTTGTAGCTCTCAGTAAGGAACTCTTGGTTCTGGAACCCGAGTTCACTTTTCCTGCCACTATGGGCTTCTGCTATTTTATTTTAACTTTGAAAAAGCAAATAACCCTTGCTCGAAGCTAAGTTTGGAAGTCTCAGCTGTTTTTCCCAAAGTGAAGCCTTCGAATGATGCCAGCATACCTGTTCGTGCTGTGGGATGGAGGCCTGACTGAGATGATGTTTGTGTCTCTAATATACTTAGTCATTGCTGCTGTTCAGGAATTTTTGCCAAGGAAGTCGCTGCTCTCCGCGTATCCTCCGTGCTCCTCGGCGGAGCTGATGATCCCTCTTTATTTCCCTGGCCCTGCCTGAGCAGGCTGGGATCAATGAAGCCACGTGTGTATATTTGCTGGTCACCAGACTGCAAGGAAGTAACAGCTGAAAGCGCCGAAGCTTTCGTGTGAGAACTTGCACCATCGTGCTGACTTAATGAACGTAACCTGCTAATTGATTTTGGCTTCCAGGGCGATGTTTTCAAAACCCGGGGTGGTGGCCAGGCTGTCCAGTTCACCGAGATAGAGACTCTAAAGCAAGAATCCCCAACTGGGTGAGTTGTGTTCCTAATTTTGGGTCCTGACACCGACTCCTGCCTTTCCAGTAGTGCGTGCGTGACTTATTTTTGTCCAGATGGTTGAACACACAGTTTTTGCACCTGAATTGAAATCGTTTAGGAGTAACTTGGGGATAACTTCATACAGCTACTGTAGCTGTTGGTGAGGCTACTCTGCTACTAGGCACAAAGCTCTCTCAAGTATTTCTTTAGACAACATAAAATGTATTTGGCTGTATTAGAATCTGCCAAAGTACACGATATTCCCATAATGTTCTTCTCCCTCCTCCTCTTTCAGTCGGAAGCGACGATCGTCGCCTTCCGATCCCAGCCCGCCAGACGATGCTGGAGACTCTGAATGGACCGATGTGGAAACCAGAGTAAGCTCCAAAGGAGGGAGGGGGGCACCCCATGCGTGTGGAAGCTTCAGCCATCAGCACAGCCCTGGGCTTTGGGGTGATGGAGGCTGACTTTGTTTTCCCAGTGTTCTGTGGCAGTGGAGATGAGGGCAGGATCTACCCTTGGACCTGGATATCAGCATCACGCTCAGCCCAAGTAAGTGCCTCCCTCATCTGCAGCTGGGTTGTTCCTTATTGCTGTCACTACTGGGGTGGCAACGGTGGATAATGGCTGGTGGTAAACTGGAATTTCCTCATGTTCCAGCTGATACCATCTGTGTGATTGCCAAAGGCCTCTGTTAAGCAGACAGTGGGGCTCTGGTTGTGTCTGGAGGAAATCTTCCTTGTGTTCAAATGTGTGGGCTGACAACCTGACCTCTCAGGTCTGTCTCGTCAGTCCTATCTCCATGGAATGAGTGTTGGTCACACCCATAAATTGAAGCCTGAAATCAGTCCCTGTTCCCTGGAGGAAATCCAAATGACCCTGCACCAGGAAAGCTGGTGCCTGGTGTTTGAACCCCGTATCTGACAAAACTTTTCTGACAAAATTGCTTCAGATAAAGATAGCTTTGCTAATGTAAGTGTTGGAGAACAGAATTCAATATCCAGATTTGGCTTCTTGCAGATAGGTGCTGGCAGTGCTCTGGAAGTGCCCTACTCAGCTCAGGGAAGAAAACTTGCAATTTTACAAGCCGTGTTTTACAGGCAGGAGAGTGGGCTGGAGAGGTAAAGAGATTTCTATGAAGCCAAAATCATCCAGACTGATTTCATTTATGATTGAAATAGCGAAGCCATTAGTTTCTATTATACTTTTGTACCACAGCTGTAGTAGTTAACGTGTGTAGTATGTATCTTTACTGCATAAATATGGAGCTTTAGTGGAAAGGTATTTCAGGGAGTGCCTGAAACAGGTAATCCCTGTTTCACCCTGGTCACAAGCACGTGCTTGTCCTCAGCAAATGCTGCCTTACATCTCACCAGGACCTGGGAGCTGCTCGTGGCTGCTTGCAGCATTGCTGCAGCCTAGCAATGTGGTGCTTCCTCCTCCCCTTTGTGGAGTGAAGCTTGTATTTTCCTATGCTTATTAAAAATAATTTTATTTCACAACCGCTCAGAAAAAATCCAACTGTTTTTGTTAATGAATAACCACTAGCTTGGTCGTGTTAATTGTAGCCTTTTTTTAGGAAATATGTGAAACTTTCCATATATGGAATAGATAAAAAAGGCTGTTGGCTGGTGTGGACAACTGCTGCTGTCTAACAACTAAAAGCTGTTTGTGTCTTTTCTTTTAGGCGAAGAAAACCATGAGCTTAATGTGCTACTGCATTGGAACCCTGATTTTGTCAAAGGATGCAACGTGCTGCCAGTAATAACGTGATAAACTGCTTTGTTATTACTACCTGCTTGTATTTTTATAATGACCTCTACTAGGCAATGGTTAAAGGGGAGATGCTTCCCAAAGGCGAGGAAGGATGTGTGTGTGTAGCTTCGATAATCTGGGCAGCTCCTGCCACTGTGTGCTTTGGACTTTGGAAGATCTTCTTTTAAGTATGAACTCCTGTTATTAAGCTGTATCTTTATAAACTGATCACACGAGGCCTCTGCCTTGCTCTTGGTTTTTTTAAGGTGCAAAATACTCCGCGTCACAATTCCTTCCTTTTCAGGTTCCCTGTTTTGAAGAAACATAAATGCTGCTATTTATTTAGTTGCAGTAATGCACTTTAGGAACATTTTAATGCCATTTCAAATTTGTAATAGCTAGCAGCCGCTCGGTGATATGAATTACTCCTTGGAAGAATTACCTAGTCCTGACCCTTGGACTGAGAATGTTATTTAACAAGCAAATCAATTTGTGAAAACAACTTTCATATATTCATAGTGACAAAGCAAGCATACAAAGATAAGTAATGGTGACTTGACACTCTACCTACTTCATTACGTAGGGCAAGCACATGTTATAAACATTTTAAACCTATAGATAAGGGGTAAGAGGGTAACGTGCTCACAAATGTGGTGAGAATTTATATATAAATGGCTCTGCAAACTTGTTTAAATAAATACTTTAATTCAATGTCTCTCGTCAAGTATGTACTTGGGAGTTTCTACAGCTTAGCCAGCCCTTTAGCACCTCAGTATCTTGCACCATATAGCAGAGCTCTGAGCAGATCTGGGGCTTTGAAATGCAGCCTTTGGGACACTTTGGAAATTTCAGCGAAGGAACCTGCTTGTGTTCCCAGATACTAAGTGTTGTGGCAAGCTTATCTTCAAGGCTGCAAATTGCTTTGGGGAGCAGTCGGCTCCGTTTTGGGTGATTGTCTGCTTCATTAAAAGATACGAAGCACTGAGCTTTTCCAGCCTAAGAAAAACAGCTTTTGTTATTGTAAGTAGTTCAAAAAGCATTTTTTTTAAGCCAGGGTTTTTTAAGGAAAAAGTGACCAAATCTGAGTACCTGTTTGTAGTTGGTATAAGCTCATTTCTCTCCAAGGGGGCCATGGAAAGGCTTGTATCCTAAAGGAATAATCTCCTCTGTGAGCCTCAGATTCCTGGGTGGAAGAGCTGCCTCGGCAGTAGCGGCTGGAGCTGGGGCTGCTCCTGGTGACAAGAGCAGCAGGGACTGAGGCTGGGCACCGGGACCACCTCTGGGGGAGCCCCTGGCCCAGGTTGGTCCCACTAGCCCATGCCTGGAGCAGGCGGGAAGGCTTTGGGCTTTGCTCTCGGGAAGGAAACCTGCCCGTCTTCTAGATCTGCTGCTGCTTTCTCCTCTGATCCTGTCCCCAGTCCTTGGAGAGCAAAGTCCTGGAGAACATGGGAGCCCAAGCTGCGGAACCGGGGGTGAAGAGCAGACTGTGGTCTCTGCCCTGGCCTCTTGCAAGTGCCGGAGCCGGACGGCAGCTTCCCGAGGCCCAAAACACCTTCCAGAGGTTCCTGACTGTCCTTCCTGTGCGGTATGTACCTGTTTCGGGGGCTTTGTGTTAATTTTAAAGCAGTGCCTTTAAACTTGATGACTGCAGGAAGGAAAAGGCGCGATGCTGTGACTGCTGCCACGAGTTTCCCAGGTCCGGAGCGGTGCAGTCCGACCCTGTCTCCTGCAGGAAGGTAAATGCTGCAGCCAGCACAGTGCTCCTGAAATCAGTTATTGGGTTGCTGCTTTCCTGCTCGTCTTATCACCTTCCCTGTGAGCTGCTAGGACTGTTATGGGTAAAAGGGGTAGCTCCTGCAGGTAAAACTGAAAAGGAAGGTTAAAAAAAATATTTGCGTAAATGACACTTGTGTGAGCTTTAGCTAAAGAGCAAAGGTGTTTTAGCAGCAGCGGGCAGTGCTGCGAGTGCATGTTAAGCTAATGCCACTAGGTGGTGGGAAATAGCAGCAGAGCGCGGTGCTGCTCCGCTTCCCGGGAAGGAGCCTTTCCCATTCCCTCCTTTCCGCACCGCGGAGCCCCGGGATCGGGCTGGCCTGTGCACTGCCCTGCAGGGCTCGCTGCTGCTCTGGGGGAGAGGTGGCCATGCAAGGAAGGTGAATAGGGCCCTGCTTGAGAGAATTCCTTTGCATGCACTAAAATAATAAAAATCTGCTATTAATGATGAGCAAGCTGTCAAAGGCATTGCTTGCTTAATTGGGATTTGGTCATCACATCATCTGCATAAGGCAGAATGGAAGTATTACAGGGGAAAGCTGAAAGGGTGATATCAGAAACTGATATTCAAGCTCCTTAAAGAAAATGAAAATACTTAAATGTAGAATGCAGCTTTAGTGGGGTTGCTTAAAAGTGATGTGCATGAGACTCTGAATTCAGAGCTCTAACTGCTGGGTTTATATTGCTTTTGTGAAGGATGAGTGGCCAAAGTGTTTATAGGGCAAATTCAGTACTTCACGAGGCCTAAGAATAGTATTTTTGCAGTAGCTTTGCTCGCTAAGAGGCTTGTTGTTTGGAATGAGAATCCCCCTAGCACAAAGAGACCATCTGCTGCAGCTACCCTGTGTCCATGTAAAGGAGAATCCAGACAGATAAAGTCTTCACTAAGGAGGAGACCTGCAGCTGCAGCGCTGTGAGCGGGTAACAAGCACCAAAGCTGCATTTTGGAGGGCTGCTGGTTTTCAGGGAGGGAGAAGATGCTCTGGGAATAGCACTCAAGCTTCCGTGGCTGTTCCAAAGAGTTTTCCTGGCCCAATTCTAACAATACTTCACCCGTGGCGCTGCATCGAGCGCTGCTCAATCGCATTCCAGCGCGGGCAGTCATGTCTTAGCATCTTCTTCACATATTTACTCTTGCACGCAGTCCTGGCAGTGTTTACTCTGCAAAGATTCCTCTAAGACGCTGCTAAGCACACAATTTACTCAGCTAACAAGGGCTGGCATTTATTGTGGGGATCTTTGTGTGCTTGTCATTCTCTGCTCCCCATTGACATTCAGTGGGAAGCACTAAAGCAAACAGCAGCGCCGGGGAGGAGCTGCCTGCGCCGCTGCTCCCTTGGGAAAGGGCTCCCTGCTCCGCGTGGGCCGGAGCGGCTTCTCCCAGGCTGCTGGGAAGGAGGCTGGAAAAGTCCCTTTGTTCAGGGGGTCGCCTGTTTGGAAGAAATCTGCTCTTTGGAAGTTCGGGGGGTTGTTTTCCTTCTCTGGGCACATACGCCTGCCTTTGTTTCCCTTGAGTTACACACTCGTTGCAGTTAACCTATTTCCAAAAAAATACTCCCTGTTCCTGGAAGCCAAGTGACCCAACACAGTGCAAATATATGATAATTTATCTGACTAGATTTTTGAATTTAAACAGGAAAACCTACACCGAGCTCCTTCATCCCTGCCAATCCTCAGAGCAGCAGGATGAAGCCGTATTCCAGTGAGACGCTCTGCTCCGTTTTGCAAAGCCTCGTAGCCTCCTGGTGAAAGATCCGTCGCCGCTTTTGTTCCAAGCCTCCTAGCTGTGATTTCTGGCTCGTACAGCTAGAAGCCAGCAGGAAATTTCAGCACTTCAAGCCTGCTTCGTCTCTGCAGCACCAGAGCAGACCTGGCGTGCAAAGGATGCTCCAAGGCGAGCAGCAGGAGACAAATCCCAGCCCGTTTGCTCCTTCTTTAGCATTACTGACAACGACCCAGCAACTTCAGCACCCGTGCCACCTTCTTCACCTCTCACAGGGTAATTATTCCCCTTCAGGCTACAGTTCTGCTGCCCTTCCTTCCCCCAGGATCTAGCGCTTTCCCATCGGTGGGAGGTGAGAGCTCTGGCTTCTGTCCCTTGCATTTCTTGGGCTTTTTTGGCGCTGGTTTTTGATGCTTTGGAAAGAAAGGTAAGAAACAACCTGCAGCCTGAACACAGAGTTGTGCAGGGCTCTGCTGGGGCTGCGCTGGGTGCAGGAATCCGACTCTCATCCCAGTCTCCATCAGCTCCCATCGGTTTCCAGCCCTTCCCGTGCTTGGTGGGAGCCGATTGCAGGAGCGGGATCAAAGGCAGGGCCAACAGCGGGAGCTAGCGCAGGTTCTTGGAGTCTCCTTTGCTCAGGCATCCTTGGAAAACGTTGATGTTTGGCACCTGCCCCGCTTCCGAATGGCAACGCGGACGTTGTGGAGAGCGGCAGGGATTTATCCCAGCTCGCTTGGCAAACGCTTGGTGCTTGCAGCAACACCCCTGGCCCAAGGACAGGCCTTTATCCCTGCCTAGGAGAGGGCAAAGGTTTGTTTTTTTTTTTTAAAAAAAAAAAAAAAAAAAAGGTGTTCTTGGAATCTTTTTATTATTATTATTATTTCTGAAATTGTTTAGTCTGCACCTGGCCTTAAAACTCTCTCATTTCTGGACAAGATGCCACATTTCAGGCGGCTCTGAAGAAACCCCTTCTCCCCGCTCCAACAGTCTGATTATTCTAGAGCTTTGGGCTCTTGGGTTTATTTCTGGAATACCACAAGCTGCTTTTGTTTTATTAGGGGAAAAACCTAGAGTCCATCAAATACAATTCTCTCGGCGAGAAGCCTAATCCTCTTATTTCTACACACTTCTGCATGATTAAATGGCTGGATTATTTAAGCAGCCGTTTGTTACTCGATGGCACCATCAAGGAGAGCCGAGGCATAAATATTAGTGCGGGGCTCTGCAATGCCCAAGTGTCCCAGATTTGGGACTTGCATTGGATGCTCCCTGCTCCCAGGGGATAAAAATGAGGGCAGGAAGGGGGTTCGGATGTGAAATGACTGGGAAAACTGTAAATCCTGAGTCGTTTGGAGAAAAGCAGCTGGAACAGAGAGCAAATGTTTGTCCAAACTTGGCTGGGGGGCTGTGCTGTTTCAACCTCCTGCTCGGCCTCCCGTCCTGCTTCCCATGGATCCAACCTGCAACGCAGAC